ATTAAAGCAAACACCTTAGATATCCAGACCAATTTTATGTGTATATATTCTAAAATGCTCCCTTTTTTATGTGGTTGGTTGTTGCCTTCTAAGTCAAGAGAACAAAATTGAATAAAGTGAATGTTAGTTGTAGCCTAGTTTTTTTGTTTTTTTTTTCGTTGTAAGATTGCCTCAGAATTACAGAAATGTGCGTTATTAATCGGCATAGATGGTCTAGGTATTTTTTAATATAGTACATAGAAAAAGAAGTTACATGTGATTATAGTTCCTCTCTTCTGTTCTAAGTTCTAAAGTAGAGTTGCAGAGAACACATCCCTTCCCCTTTGCCCCCTCACCATACTAATAGACCAGCATCACTGGGAATAGTGAAGGCCCTCTTCTTGAGCTGCAGGCAGGATGCTACCCACTTCCGCACCTGTTTACAGGATCCACATGCCAAAGCCTCACCAGGTTTTCTCTTTAAGTGGGTACTTGGAATGGAGTAAAACCAAGTCCATTTTATGTAGTTGACTGTAAAAAGCAGAAAAAGGAAAGAATTGCATGAAGCCCCATGTGAACAGATCCTTTTGTTTCTAGGTTCAAAACTTTATTAAAATTTCTTTTTAATCAAGTGCATTTTTTTAAGATTTTATTTATTCATTTGAGAGAGAGAGAGAGCACGAGAGGGGGGAGGGTCAGAGGGAGAAGCAGTCTCCCCGCCGAGCAGGGAGCCTGATGTGGGACTCGATCCCAGGACTCTGGGATTATAACCTGAGCCGAAGGCAGTTGCTTAACCAACTGAGCCACCCAGGCGCCCTAATCAAGTGCATTTTTATTTTCAACGCAGCAGTAGTAGGAGAAATGCTCTTTGAACCGCAGGGCATCTGTAATCTGTGAGGTTGAAGTTTCACAGCAAAGGAAATTGCATGGTGGATCTCAGAAAGTGGCCAGTAATGCCCCTCATACCCCACGGTGTACAGCCACTCTTGTTGCCAACAGAACACTGATAGCATAAGTGGATTAAGGTCTGAGGAGGTAACTCTCTCCCCTCCTACTCCCACAGTGTTCTGGCTTTGGTGTCTGTTTTCTTTCCCACACTGTACTGAGCACTACAGTTGAATTGCCGTATGGTGTCTGCCTTCAAGGAGCCCCTTAGAGTGGAAAAGGGGCAGAAAAACGAGCAGAAGGTTCTAGTCCAGGTATGACTAGCATGCCCTGAGGAATGCAGAGCAGGGTCCCCCTGGGCACTCTGTACTGTGCTCGGCCGTGCCCCAGGCCTGCTCCAGGCTCCTGCGGTGTGCTTCACTCAGCGACAGCCAGGAACCTGGGGAGAGCAAGTCGCCTTTACAATGCTTTATACAGTTTAATCTTTTTGAAATTTTTCTTTTTACATATGAAAGCAAAGTGGTATAACTACTTTGGGAAATAGTTGGGCGGTTCTGTAAACATTACAATAAGTACTTAGCACTCCTAGTTATTGACCAGGCAAAAAGTAAGTCCATATGATGACTCATACATGAACATTCCTAGTAGCTTTATTTGTAATAGCTCAAGGCTGGAAACAGGCTTGGAAATCCACAGGCCTATCAACAGGTAAATAGATAGTGATCATCCATGCAATGAGATACCGCTCAGCAATTAAAAACGCAATTAATTTGATATACACAGCATGGACAAGTCTCAATGCTAAGTGAAAGCAGACCTACAGATCGGTGGGGAGGGGCTTGGAGGTACTTCAAAGGGGCATCAAGAAATGGAGGGATGATGTGTGTGTTATCTTGATGTGCTTCTGGTTTGATATGTATACATATGCTAAAACTTAAATTTACATTTTAAATTTGTGCGATTCATTGCATGTTAATTACATCTCAGTCTCAAAAAGTAATAACCAGCGTTCATATATGTTCTCTAAGGGGTCATTTCGTACCTTCCTTCAAAGTGCCCTCTTTCTCTTTTGGCTGATGACTTTTCTGTTTCACCAAGAAGACAGAAGCAATCAGAACAAGTCTTCACACGTTCACATTGTCAATTCACCGTCTGACCTGCACCTGTGCCCATATGCTCACCAGGCTGTGCGGGCCGCGCACGTCGCCTCCAGCGTGCATGCCCCGTATGCACGCTGCCCCCGGGCCCACGTGCAATCCCTGGGTCCCCCCACCCTGCACAGGCTCACTAGACCACAGTACTCACCTGCTCGAGGCACTGCTCTGCAGTTCTCCCTCTCCCTCGTAAGTGGTGTTGGGTCATTCCCATGATTCAGATGTTGTATCATCTCTTCCACAAGAAAAATCTCCACCCCACTAACTCCTTCAACTGCTCCATTTCACGTTCCTTTCCAGCAAAGCCCTTCAGTTTTCTGTACTCTTTCCAATTTTTCCTCTCCTTTCCCAGCCCTGCTACAATCAGATGTTTGCTCCACTTTTCCACTGGAATTGCTCCTGTAAAGGTCACGAATGGCCACCACTAAATGATGTGGTTCCTTCTCAGCTCTCACCTGAAATGGTTCCTCTTTCCAGTGAAACCACTTTCCTGGTTGTCAGGACACAGCCTTCCCCCACATTTTCCTCCTGCCTGTTTGGATTCTCCTTTCTAAACTCCTTCACTGACCCGATCCTGTCAACCCAGCTGGGACCTCAGTCCTACCTACATGCGTTGACTTAGTGATCTCACTCACTCTCAGGGTTTTAAAGACCATCTATATGCAGATCACGCACATACTTATTTACTCCAGACATGTCTGTGCACCTGTCTATGTGGACTCTACCAGACATCTCAAACTTAGGTCCAAAACACAACTCATGATGCCCCTACCCCAAATCTATTTTCTCAAAACGTCCCCATTTCAGTTGGTAAGCAATTGGATGAAGTCGCGAAACAAAAAATGTTGGTAATACCTTTGACACTTGTTTCTCTCCCAACCTTCACACACAATTGGACAGCAAGTCTTCAAAAATGAATCAGATTCTGGCTACATTGCACCACCTCTACTGCTGCCATCCTGGTACAGAGCACCATCATCTTCTCCTGCCCGGGTCACTGCAGTTTCTCCTGAGCTCCCGGCCTCTGCCCACACTCTCTTGTCTCTCTTCCAGTTATTTTCAACACGGGATCCAGAATGATCATGTTCAGATCTAAGATCACATTAGTCTTCTACTCAGAGAGCTAACTATGACACTCAGAGTCCCAAGTTCACAGTTGCCTTAAGGGTCCCTGTGCTCCTGGCAGCCTCCTTGCTTTCAGAACAGGTCAAACCTCAGGGCCTTTGCACTTGCTGCTTGCTGTGCCTTAATGTTCTTCATCTAGGCTCTCCCCAAGCTCTTCATTTTTTACTGAAGTGTCATTCCTTAAAATTGCAGCTACTGGGGCATTCCTGACTCTTCTGCTGTGTTTTTATCTCTCATATGTATTAACACATCACATGGTTTTTCTGTCTTATTTATATTTGTATGTTTTCCCCCACTTGAATGTAAGCTTCAGAGTTTTTTTTTTTTTTTTTAACTATTTGGGGATTACTACTATATTTCAGAACAGTTCTTGGGACATATTTAGCATTCAATACTCTTGAATAAATAAATGGATGAATCAGAATCAAAATAATGTGTATATGGTTAAAATAAAACTTGAAAGCTATGTGCCATTTTTCAGAGGTAACCCCCTATCAGGAGTTTAGTTTTTGCTTCCAGAATGTGCTGTGGGCAAATGTACATTCGACTCCTATTATCACAGACTCTGCTCTGTGGGGTGCTTTTTTTTGCTTTATATTTCGTGAACATCCTTTTATGTCAATACTTAAGTAGCTACCTCATTTTAAAATTCTGGCTGAATTGTATTCTGTTGTGTGGATAAGATTATGATTTAAGTTTTCTAAAAGACAATTATAATGTTTACCCATTTTACTATGTGCTTTAGTAAACATTTTTGTCCACATTATATACTCAGGCTAGTATTTCTGTAGGATAAATCTATCGATTGCTAAGTCATCAAAATATAGTGCCAAATGGCCCCCAAAATGTACTAATTAATACTCTCTCTCATCACTGTATGAGATTCCTTGTTTTCCCATTTTGTATCAACATTAAATAGTGACTGTTCTCAGTTTTTGCTAGTGCTGTTGATTTGGAAGTGCTATTAATTTGGAGTCATGGTTGGGGGTGATGCCTCTAGGGCAGGAGGAAGGGCTTGTCATTGACTCCTCCTGGCAATAGCTCATTCTAGTTCTCCCTCTTCCTGGCTGGAGGTGAGCAGGGGAAGGCGCGCTTTAGGGCTTCATTCAGAGTGGGTTTGAGGGTAGCCACAGCTATGATTCACACCTTGTACGCTGCCCTGGATTCACCAGAACGGAGCAGTTCTCCTACCCTTCGACCCAAAGCTACTGCATCAGAAGACGCGGCTTATGTTTTCTAGACCCAATCAGGCTCAACCATTCTGTCTTGCTTAGGAAAACAAGTTAAACAATCTTCCTTGAGCTGAAAACAGCCCACTGTCTAAACTCTTGAGGGGCTCTTATATCGGAAGAACGAGTGGGCAATGAGAACAGCACGTGTGAAGGTCTGGAGACCGGGACGGTTTCCTGCACAGACGGGCTCGTGCAAGAAGAGCGAGGCCTTGGAGGAAGGAGGGCCAGGGTCCTTCCTGCGGGGCGGGGGGGAGTGGGCGGAGCTCGGGGGCGGGGCTCGTGCTACCTGCACCGACCAGCCCCCCTGATTGTAACGGTTTCCTACTGAGGGCGACCGAGTCATCTCGTCGTAAGCTTCACGTAGCCAGAGCAAGGGGAAGTGGGGGGGGGGTCCTTCGTGAATTCGCCCTTCACATTTGGCAGTGGGAAATCGATCAAAAGGTCCTTTTCTAGGTGAAACATTCAGCTCCTGCCGCCCTTAACTGCCGGTTAGTGGCAAAAAGGGGCCGGAGCCTCACTGCGCAAGCGTCGTCTCCCAGGCCCGCGCCGGCCGCAGCCCGGCCTCGGCCCGAGGCGTGTGCGCCTGCGCGGAGCCAAGGGGCGGGGCCGTCAGGCGTCCCGGTTGCTCGGATACCTCCGTGAAACAATTGCTGCCGCTGGCGCTTCCCGGCTGTCGCTAGAAGGGGCAGTGGGCCCTCACTGTCCGAAGAGCCCGAGGAGGAGCGGGTGAGTGTCCCGGCCGGCCGCCCGGACCTCGCGAAGCCAGCCTCTTGGCCCGCCCCCAAGCCCGGCCCGGCCACAGACCCCGGTCCCCCATCCAGGCTCCAAATCCGGGGGAGGCAGGGCGGCCCGGCCCTTCGCCGAGGCTCACGGGCCCGGCCTCCCCCTCCAGGCAGCACACCTTGATTCTTCCCAGCCTGGTCCCGGTCTGCGGAGAGCGATGCCGCTTCCCGATACCATGTTCTGCGCGCAGCAGATCCACATTCCCTCGGAACTGCCGGACATCCTGAAGCAGTTCACCAAGGCTGCGATCCGCACCCAGCCCGCCGACGTGCTGCAGTGGTCCGCGGGGTAAGCGCCTGGGATGGCCGGCCGGCCGGTCCGCGGGACGGCTCGCGCCTCCTGCCCTCACACCTGGAGCACTGCTCCGACGCATTGGTGCTGTCTGCGCCTGAGTATCTATCTAGGAAGCATCACGGTTGATTGACCTTCCCAGGAATTACTGCAAAATGTTCACTTTCCCACAAAGGAATGACACCTCCATTGTTGGAGAGTGGTACTTACTCAGACTAACACTTACAAAGCAATTGCATTGGGCAAAAAGTTTCTGCATTGTGTTATAAAATCAAACTACTACAGTCCCTTTATTTGTAAAATGATTTTAATAAGGAATCTTGTAAGGCTAAATTCCTCATCCTAGAGAATCCTCCCAGGGTTCAGGATCTGGTTGAGTTTATTAGAACCAAAGCGACGGAGGTCATATTGGGGTAATTATTCCAAGGCCGCTAGAAGGTTAAACTTTGCCCAGCTTAGTTCACTGAAGGCAAATGAGCCTTCACTGTTTCTAGCAACAGACATCCTGTTTTCAGGAACAGACATTCATAATTTTAAGGTTACAAAGTTAACAGACTTTAGAACCATTAAAATAAACCCATTACGATTTTTTTTAAGAAAAGTTTTTATTTTTTTATTTGCGAGAGAGTGAGAGAGAGAGAGCCCAAGAGGGGGGAGGGTCAGAGGGAGAAGCAGACTCCCCGCTGAGCAGGGAGCCTGATGCGGGACTCGATCCCGGGACTCCAGGATCATGACCTGAGCCAAAGGCAGTCGCTTAACCGACTGAGCCACCCAGGCGCCCAACTCATTTCATTTTGAAAGGAAAGCTCTTCGTCCCTTTTCAGTAGACAGAGTTAGAAACTCAATTTTATGATCACAAGAACCAGTATAAAATTAAATGTTTTGGGACACCTGGGTGGCTCAGTCAGTTGAGCGTCTGCCTTCGGCTCGGGTCATGATCCCAGGGTCCTGGATCCAGCCCCACATCGGGCTCCCTGCTCAGCAGGGAGCCTGCTTCTCCCTCTCCTGCCTGGCGCTTCCCCTGCTTGTGCACACACACTCTCTGTCAAATAAATAAATAAAATCTTTAAAAAATTAAATGTTTTAGTAACTAGCATGTCAGATTTCACTGACCTATAAACTGTATAACCAAGGTGAATTAGTTTCCTGTGGCAACTATAACAACCACAGAATTTGATGAATTAAAACAACAGGCACGCATTCTCTTTACAGTTCCGGAGGCCAAAAGTCCAAAACCAGTTTCACCTAGTTAAAGTCGAGTTGTCAGGCCTTCTCTCCAGAGGCTCTAGGGAGACTTCAATCCCTTGCTTGTCTTTTCCAGCTTTCGGAGCTGCATTCCTTGTATTCTTTGGCTCATGTTCCCTTCCTCCATCTTTAAGGCCAGTACTGTGGCATCTTCAGGTCTCTCTCTCGCTGCCTCTCTCTTCCAAGGACACTTGTGATTGCATTTAGGACCCATCAGGATAATTCAGGATAATTTTCCCATCTCAGAATCCTCTCTCCCTCTACAAAGTCCCTGACACCATGCAAAATAAGATCCACAGATTCCAGGATTGGGACCTGGGTGTCTCTGGGGCCCTTACTGAACCCACCACACAAGGCTACCTGTTAATCCAGTGCTTTGTCTTGTGACAGACACTTCTGTCAGTTGCTTCTGAAAGATTCTCTCAAGGTTCTTGCCAAAAAAATTACAGCCTCTGTTTTTAACCATCATCCAAGCATCAATAAAAGATGGGACACACAAGAGTTTATTTGTAGTCAACAGGACATTCCAAGATTGAATCATTTTTTTTTCCCTTGGGACATTAAATTTAAAACGTGTAATTGAGCACTTTCTGGATGTTCCATGCACTTAATTTCTCTCAAGAACAATTTTGGGGTTTAGGAGAAAAAGCAAGCTTTATTCACTAAGCAGTGTGTGTGAAATGGGCTCGGATGTGTCCCAGCTGTCAGGAAGGAGAATCTGTTAGGGAGGGATGTTGCTCAGAAGAGGGCAAATTGGTCTTTGAGGTTAAGACAAGGCAAGGGCATTCCGGGAAGAAGAGCAGCATACCAGCAAAGGGACGGTGACAAGAAGAAGAAAAAAAAAAAAGCTAAAGACAAAGCAGAGAACCAGGAATCACAGGGAGGTACCTGCGGTGGAAGACGGCTGGAGGCATTCAGGTAAACCTCTTCACAGAGGAGGCTTTCAGGTGGTGGAGGTGACTCAGCCTCGCTAGTCATGCCGCAGCTAGGTTCTGTCACCGGTGCCTCATGCAGTGTGACTGGAGTGAGAACTGGTCCCCTGCTGAAGGCTGCTTTCTGCTCACACGTGCCTCCAGGGAATTAGCATCAGGGGGCTCGCCCCTAATGCAGGCTTTCTCAGCCTTGGCACTGTTGCCACTTTGGACAGGGTAATTGCTTGGGGGGGTGTATGGGGGGAAGGTGGGGGTGTGGGGGTGTCTGGGTGTAATAGGACCCTTAGCAGCATCCTGACCTGTACCCACTAGAGGCACCATCCATCCCCTCTGGTGACAACCAAAAATGTCTCCAGAAGTTGCCAGTGCCTTCCTGGGGAGGGGGGGTGGGAGAATTGTTGGGGACCACTGCTTTAGACGCTGTGGCTTGATCGTTGAGGGGGAGGAAGGAATAAAGTCCCCGGAATAAGTGAAAACCCTAATTAGGAACAGTATGGCAAAATTATGCCCCCATGCCCCCTCCCTGTCACCTTAGATCTTTCTGTTCACCTTCGTCTCCCACATTGCTGCCCTTGTTTTGACTTTCCCTCAAACTGTTAGGTCAACAAAATATGGATGGGGAGCGAAAAGGGGATGAGGTGTAACATTTCTTTTAGCCTGTCAAGTATCTATTTATCAACAGCTATCTTTGTTACATAATCAGAGATGTTTCTCATTCATACCTTTTACATGATGGCCTGTGGCCCTGGTGGATGATTTACTATGCGTTTTCCTGAGTATATTGTTTCTTTTTTGTTGTGTTAGTCATTGGAGTGGCGAATGACGTGGCTTCAGCAGCCGGCCACCTCTAGCACGCCTGGCACCCTTTCCTGGTCCCCGGCAGCCAGAAGCCGGTGTGTGCCCCCTCCTGACTTGTTGCTCTAAACTGTTCCCATACCCCCCAACCCCCAATATAAGCACTAATATCTGCATCCCGGAAAGGAACAATTAAGGGGAAAAAACACTAAAGAAAATTACTAAAAAAAAAAAATACTAAAGAAAATACCAGGCAGGAAAAGTGAAGGATGGGGGGGGGGAGGTGTGGCATCTGACGTCATGGAGTGGAGTGGTTGGTCCCCAGCAGAGCAGACAGGTGACTTCCCTGATCCAGGACCCTGTAGGGTTGAACAGAGATGGTTGAAGTCAACCCCCTTGGAAAGCAGTAGGGCCAAGTGAAGGGAAGACCAAACACTAACTGTCAAAGTAGAATGACTGGACCATGACCTTGCCCTTGGGTCACTGGGTTCTGAATCTCCCACCTCCTTTGGCAACAGGCCAGGACCCCTCCTAGCGTGTGCTTGATAAGAATAGCACATGTTTCAGGAGCCCCCCGATGGCCTGGTGGCCGAGCAGCATGTCCAACCTGTTGCAGCTTGAGCTCACTGCTCCTAGGAGCCCTATGACAGGGCCTGCCATTGTGGGCTTTGCAGACAGAGAAACTGAGGCATGCAGAGAGGGTTACATTGGGGAGCGGAGTGGAGGAGCCATGACTGCAGCCCCGCCCTCGGACTCTGGTGTCCCTGGAGGTGTCCTGGGCATTGTCACGCTCACGGCTTGTTTAAGAAACCGCGTGAATTCCAGTGTTTTCTGGGTACTGATGAGCCTTCAAAGATGTCTGTTGCTGTTAGGTATTTTTCAGCTTTGTCCAGAGGAGATCCACTTCCTGTCAAGGACAGAATCGAGATGCCCGTGGCCACTCAGAAAACAGACACAGGCCTGACTCAAGGACTCCTGAAAGTTTTGCACAAGCAGGTAGGAGAGGGTCTCTGTTCTCCGTCAGCTTCACAAGATACAGCGTGGCCGCCACCAAGGCACATGGCAGACTCGCCGGCTCAGCTTTGCAAGGCCAGCTTTCCCGGTGCACACCTGCCAGATTTCTTCAGAGGAGGAATCTGCTGTGTTCAGTGGCCTTTTTCTAGTTTAAAGAACCCAAAATAGCTATTCGTGATTAGATGGTAGGCAAATGAAATAGAATTGCTTTTAAATACCAAATTAAAACACTAGATGCTGCTGGACTAAAAGTCTGGAAATTCAACTCCCAAACGGGGGCTATAAGTCTCTTCTTGAAATATGCTTATAAAAATTGTGTACGTGCTTAAGAAATAATCTGCTGCCGCCTTCCTCTGAACGACAGAATGCCCTTTGGCGTCCGGTGTGCAGTGTGGTCCAGAGAGCCTGGGTGGGGACGAGATCCTTCCTGGCACGGCCTTGCCCAAGACCTGAGGGCCGTCCTCACCCGCCCCACCCCCTTGCTTTTAGAGAAACCAGTTAATAGGGAGGGTATCACCCAGTCAGGCTTGGCATTCCTGATGACTGTGTCGTGTTGCTAAAAGTGACATCAGTGGTATAACCTTGATCTTAAAGTGATTTGTCCCCATTATACATTTTGACATACCGTGCTTCTGTGGTACATTGACTTCTGAAAATAGGATTATTCCATGGTTTTCTCTATCTTAGGGGAAAACGAATAACCATTGGAAGGGGTAACTTGGGGAAAAACACGCTAAAATTGCTCAGAAATTTTCACATAGAATGCTATTAGCAGATCACAAGCATTACCAATTTTCACAGATTATTTAAAAAACTGGAAGGAATGAATTTCTTTTCAATTTTAAGGTTTCTTCCATTTAACTGTTAACATGTTTAGCGGGTTGGATCTTCAATGTTTTTATTTTATTTATTGAAGCTTATTTTTTGCTGTGAAGTGCTTCGCACAGACAGAAAGGAATCCTATACCCAGTCTGTGTATGCCCATTTTACTCAGCCGTAACATCATGCCATGTTTGCATCACAGGCCTTTCTCCTTTTGAGAAGTAAAACAGGCCAATATCAGCTTGCTGCCCCCTCCCTGCCCGCGTTCCTCCTGCCGCACACCTTCCCACCCTGCTTTCCCAGGGCTAACCATGTTGTGAGACAGAGTTCATCTTTTCCCTGCATGCGGTTGGGCGCTTGGGATATGTTTAAATATTCATAAGCATTATCTTATTTCACAGGTTTCTAAAACTTAAAAAATATACTTATAGACTTAAAAACTTACAAATTTCATCATACTGTGTTTTCTCTATAGTGTAGCCACAAGCGGTATGTGGAATTAGCAGATCTTGAGCAGAAATGGAAAAATTTGTGCCTGCCAATAGAGAACTTCAGAGCGTTGTTGCAATTGGATCCTTGCGAAGACAAAATGGAGTGGATAAAATTTTTAGCACTTGGATGTAGCATGCTTGGTGGGGTACGTACCTACAAGTAGCATATGAATAATTCTGTGCAATCAGGGGCCTGGCTTAAAAGTAATGTCGGTATTTCAGTAACCGAAAGAAACACTTTCACTACTTTAGTAACTTTGTTTGAGAGAAGCAATTCTTTTTCAAGTGCCTGTTGTATTTTTAGGCTTACATTTTTTTTAAAGATTTTATTTATTTATTTGAGAGAGAGAGAGAGAGAGCAGAAAAGCAGCAGAGGAAGGGGGAAAAGCAGGCTCCCTGCTGAGCAAAGAGCCCAATGCAGGGCTCAATCCCAGGACCCCGGGATCATGACCTGAGCCGAAAGGCAGCTGCTTAGCCAGCTGAGCCACCCAGGCGTCCTGTAGGCTTATAATTATTTTAATTTGCAGAAGTTAAATACTTGGGAATGCTTCAATTTTAAAATAGTTAACAGCAGATAAAATGACAATGCACTTAAGTGTTAGAAGAGAATGCATCGGTGACTTTTTATTGAACTGCACATCATTTGGTAAACAGATACTGTGTTCTCCTCATCTATGGGAAGAGGCGTAAAATTATTTTATATTTGAGTTAAAATATATGATTAGTCGCTAACAGATATGGTGCAACTTTGGCGGTGTTGAAGTATGAACCTTGGGAATGAAGACAGAGATGACCCTCCAGTTCCCAAAGTGAGGGGTCTCTGAACCAAGGAGGGGTGAAAGGGAAGGGCTGGAGTGTGAAGATTTGGCAGGACTTCTTCTTTCTTTCTTTATTTTTTTATGATGTTCAGTTAGCCACTGTATAGCACCTCATTAGTCTCAGATGTAGTGTTCAGTGATTCCTTAGTTGCGTGGAACACCCAGTGCTCTTCACCACACACGCTCTCCTCAGTGCCTATCACCCTGCTACCCCATCCCCCACCCGCCTCCCCTCTGAGACCTCGGAGTCCATAGTCCCTCATGGTTTGTCTCCCCCTCTGAAGTCTCCCCCTTCAGATTTCCCTCCCTTCCCCTATGGCCCTCCGTGCTATTGCTTATGTTCCACATATGATGAAACCATATGATAATTATCTCTCCCTGCTTGACTTACTTCACTTAGCATAATCTTCTCCAGTCCCATCCATGTCGATGCAAATGATGTGTATTCACCCTTTCTGATGGCTGAGTAATATTCCACTGTTATATGGACCACTTCTTCTTTATCCATTCATCTGTTGAAGGACATCTTGGCTCCTTCCACAGTTTGGCTATTGTGGACATGGCTGCTATGAACATTGGGGTGAAGGTGCCTCTTCTTTTCACTACATCTGCATCTTTGGGGTAAATACCCAGTAGTGCAATTGCTGGGTCATAGGGTAGTTGTATTTTTAACATCTTGAGGAACCTCCGTACTGTTTCCCAGAGTGGCTGCACCAACTTGCATTCCCACCAGCAGTGTAGAGGGTTCCCCTTTCTCCACATCCTTGCCAACATTTGTTGTCTCTTGTTTTGTTAATTTTTTTGGCAGGACTTCTTTGGGAATCTGGAAGCTCCCTCTTCAGCTCCAGTGTTTGAGTGTCTGTGTGAGACACCGGGGGCCAGGGAAGGGAGCGTTACCATTTTACATGTGTGAAGAAGGGGCTCCCTCCACTGCAGAGCCGGGCCCTTTTCTCACCCCTACCCCCCCTTTTCTAAAGATTTTATTTATTTGACAGAGAGACACAGCGAGAGAGGGAACACAAGCAGGGGGCGTAGGAGAGGGAGAAGCAGGTTTCCCGCGGAGCAGGGAGCCCGATGCGGGGCTCGATCCCAGGACTCTGGGATCATGACCTGAGCCGAAGGCAGACGCTTAACGACTGAGCCACCTGGGCGCCCCCATCCCCTCCCTCCCGTCTTTGGACCTCAGAGACTGGATAATTCAGTCCTCGCTTCATGGCGCACACTCAGCTCTGATGTTAATTTTTAGAAGTCACTTTGTGTAGGAAACCCCCAGGGACCCTACGTGATCTCGGACACACTGACGTGACTGCCTGCACTCTTCCTCTATGCCATCCCCCTGCCTCCCCAGCCTGAAGCAGCCACCCTCCCAAATCTCCTGCTTCCTGTGGGCCACATACATACCCCAAGAAATACAGTATTTAATTTTCGTGGGTTTTAACTTTATGAAAAGCTAATTCTGTGGTTAGCAATCTTCTGGAACTTGTATTCATTCCCAATTAGATTTCCATCTCCCTCCATCACAGGCTGTTGTAGGTCATTCCTTGCCTCTGCTGTGTAATATCCACTCCGTGAAGAGACCCCTGTTTACTGGTTCTCGTAATGGCCCCAGTGAGAACTGCTGAAACCCCAGTAAAGCCAGGTGCTGGCTGGTTGCTGCATACTGAGTCACCTAAGTGCCCAAAGGCAGTGTTTCCGTCAGCGGTAGAGAGGACTGCTGCCCCGGGCTGATTTGTGCCAGGGACCGTCCTGCAGCAGAGCGGGGCTCAGACATAACCAGGGGCGTGGGGTGTTGGGGTGGGAAGGACAAAGACAGATGTACCTACTGAAGATAGTTTCACGTCGCGTTGTTCATCTGCAACTCTGTGAAAGCAAGATTTTAATACTGTAAAATGAATATCTAATAGTAGAATTAATGTTTATGCTTTGTGCCTTTAACTGTGAAATTTAGATTTTAGCAAGGGTGAAAAAGAATTTTCATATTTTGGGGATCCATCTTTGTAATGTTTACCTCCCCGATCACGAAAAGTAAGCGCAGGATTTAAAACCAAGCCGGAGCAAGAGAGAGGGTTTCTTGTCCATGTGTCGTGTGGGACACTAGGTGGAGACATTTGGTCACCTTCTGGACTGAACACTGGGGAAGGCACGAGAAAGCCTCCGCGCCTCTCCTTTCCTCCTCTACTGTTTGTCACCCTTGCTGGTCAGTGTGGGGTCCGACCTGTCCCCTAGCTGGGCCACCTCGACAGTCGTATCTGCTGTGGGCTGTGGACTCTGAGGCCAGACTGTCCGGGAAGGTCCCCTCTGGTTCACATGTCTGTGTTGTGGGGAGGGTTGGGGGAAGGGTGAGCGGGAGGTGTCGGAAGTGAGGGTGTCGGCTCTGCCGTGGCCTACCCCCCACTCCTGCCTCCAGTGCAGACAGCCCTGGGGCGGCCAGGCGCAGATGGGGAGAAGCCACTGTGTGCCCATGTTGGCCGGGGGAGTTTGGAGGTACACCAAGACAAAGCTGTGACTTGGAGGTGACGAGGTGACAGTTTTGGTGTCGTTTGGCATCTTAGCATTCATCTTTATGCAGTTGTTCCCTGCAGGGCAGGGCGGGGAGGGGCAGAGGGAGAGGGAAAGAATCTCAAGCTGACTTTCCACTGAGCACGGACGCGGGGCTCGATCTCACGACCCTGAGATCACAACCCTGAGCTCATGACCCTGAGATTATGACCTGAGCCAAAATCAAGAGTCGGACGCTGAACTGACTGAGCCACCCAGGTGCCCCTATCTTTATGCTTTTTAAAAAACCTTCAAAAAAGGAGGAAATGGAGAAGTGAAACACGGGATGAGTAATTTACAATGGATCACTACCCATCCCCTTCTCCACGTAGGATTTCTGTTACGTTGGAACCTAGCTGCTCTGTCAACACAATAGGCTCTATTTCTGCTTCCTTCATCCCCGGCCCCTGCATGGCCGGGGGCAGATGCACTCTCCGTGCTCTTAAATTTGTCTTCGCAGTCACTGGTCAGATGCACCCAGCTTAAGGTCTCTACAAAGACTAGAATCTCTGCTTACATTTCAGAGTCGTCTGTGCCCTCCCTCCCTCCCTCCCTTCCTTCCCAAATGTTTGTTGAGCACGGCTTTGTGCCGGGTCCTGTTCTGAGAGCTGAAGATTCGGGAGTGAGCACGGTAAGCAGGCGACCTGACCCCCTGGAGTCGACTGTCCGTCCGCCCTGCCCTGCCCCGGAGCACCGAGCACTGCGCTGCGTATGGTGTTGGGAGCTAGGAATGGGGCGGAGGGGCAGTGGGGCTGCCCTGGGCAGATCGTGCTGTGCAGAGCCTTGCCTGGCTGAAGGGTAACATTTTATGTTGTGGCCTTTATCTTTACATGTCTGCAGCGCCGGCAGTGACCCTAAGCATTCAAGCCGTGGATCAAAATCCTCTGCTTCGTTTTTTAAGCACGAAGATCTTTTTTATTACATAAAAAAACTGAGAAGGAAGTCCCGTATCCCCTCACCCCCCGCCCCCCACTGACTGAGAAATTCCATGATGACAAACCACCAGCCCAACTCTGTGAGGCTCTGAGAAGCACTTTGGACTTTGTTCATCACAAGAACATGTCCCTGTGTGCAGGGGCGAATGCGCACGTGTGCAACACAGTCTTCCGTCCAAACACGTTGCTTATGAACGGGCCTCACGTCTAGAGTTCTCATCATGGGCTGGAACATTTGGAGCCTTTGTCTGTGTTCTCCTTAATCCTCCCAGCACCCCTCTGATTTAGGGCCTGTTCTGGGGACCTCACTGCGGCTCAGTGACTCAGATTAGAAGTGGTTGAGCAGGATTTGAATGCAGACCCTGAGTGGGTGGGGGAAGGGCCCCTCGCTAGAGAAGCTGTAGCCCCAGGTGTGTGCCGCCCACAGGTTGGGACACGGAATGAGACATTTCCTGTCTCAGAGAATAACAACTCCTAAGGATGATCCTTAATATCATTTGCTATCTGAAAATGGTTCTTACCCTGAAAAGCTCTCAATGTCCGCCTCCCAACGGCCCTCGTGTTGGCATTCATAGAGTATCCTCCAAGCACAGCTGTGCTTCCATCCCATCCCAGTGCCTGGGGGCCCGGTGGTAGAGGCAGTGTCCCAGCTCGCTCCCCTCCTGCTTTCCATTCAGCTCCCCCAGCTACGCCGCTAAGCCCATTCTGGGGTGCCATGAACATTCCGTTTACACTGTGGCCACGGAAAAGATACAGCCACCCCCCGTGGGGGGGAGCCTCAAGCCACACACTTGCTTGGTAGCTGCCCCCTGAAGTGGGAAGTCTGTCCTTGGGCCCCCAGCACCAGTCACCCCACTGCTGAGTGTCCCAGCCCCTGGGAGAAGAGAGTTGGGGTGCACTCCGCCCCCATGTCTCTGCTGGCCTGGTCGCTGCTCACACATGGGGGCCCTGCATCCTCCCCTGGATGGTGACACTGGAACGAACTGGCTTCTCTGGAGGACCGCGTCCCAGCCAGGTGGGGGATACCTGTCTCCCACCCTCCCCTGCCACGAGTCCACAAACAGAACCGCGTTTTAGGTGAGAAAAGACCTGGGAGGGTGAGGAAGTAGGTGCAGAGGACCTCCGGCTTTTTAAAAGTGGACTTTGGGGGGCGCCTGGGTGGCTCAGTCGGTTGGGTGACTGCCTTCGGCTCAGGTCGTGATCCCGGGGTCCTGGGGTCAAGCCCCGCATCGGGCTCCCTGCTCGGTGGGGGGCCTGCTTCTCCCTCTCCCACTCCCTCTGTTGCTCCCCCTACTTGTGCTCTCTCGCTCTCTGTCAAATAAATAAAAATAAAATATTTTATAAAAAACAAGAAGTGGAATTTGGGGGTGGGACCCCTGCTTGCAATGCTGAGCTGTCCCTCCTGAGTGCCCTCAAACCACACCTCGGAGCCAGGCCCCCTCTTCTTTTGGACAAAAGGGTCCCCGCAAGATGTGCAGATTGTCACCTCCCGGCGAGCTGGAAGTGCACTGGGGGAGGTGTGAGCTGGCTCTGTGTGTCATCCCAAGAGCAGCTAAGATTCTGAAACAGATACCCCACAGAGCTGGAACCCTCGAGACGCTCAGGAAACAGCAGGTGTCTGCAGGCCTGTTTTCCTCTCACGTCTCCGCCCCAATCTCTCACAGGGCCCAGGCTGAGACGCTTGGCCAAGACCAAATGCAGCTTGGCAGCCCCACCTCCCAGCACAGCTTGTGTCCAGGAGGGCGGGTCGGGGCAGGAGGCTGGAGGAGGGGCACCTGCCCAGGAGGGTCTCCTGGCTGGCGAGCACGTGGCCTCCCTGCCGACAGCCCTTGGGAGCTGAGGAATCTGGGTCCAGGAAGACAGGCTTGCGGCGGCAAAGCCAGGCCAGTTGCTTTAGGAATCCTTTTGGATATACAAATTGCCGCACATCTCATCTCGCACATCTCATCTCGTCGTCAGGAACGTTCGCCCTGCTAACGTCATCGGGCCTTTGCAGAAGGCAGTGACGCTGGGCTCCTTTGATGCATGTTTTCCTTAAATACCTCCGCCTTGGAAGCCTTTGCAGCTCGGTTTCGCAGACCTCATCTGCCTGCTGCTTGCTGCGTGCCAGCCGCCTCCTTCCCCGGCTCCTTCCCGAGGCTCAGTAATGACTCTCTCCCGCTGTGACGGATGGAAAAGCAAAAGCTAACATAACTGCACGTCTCGGAAAAGTTTCAAGGGAGGAACATGGATCATAAAACGTGCAGCTCTGTTTTCACCAAGTCCTCTCAAGGCCGGTGCTGAGAGGAAGGGGCGCGGGCTGTGACCCCGGAGAAAGCACCTGCTGGGCAGACAAGGCCGCTTCTCCCATCGGAGCGTCATTTTGCCCCGGGGTCAGACTAACGCCAGAGCTGCGCCATCCATGCCGGCCTCGTGCCACGGCCACGGCCAGGGGTCCCGGGGAGTGTGGGAAGGGGTTTTCCAGATGAGCCGAGCCCCAGCTGTGGTGATGGGGGGGAGCTCCGGGCTGATCAGGCAGCACCCCCGCCGCCGCCCAGACAGGGCAGCTCCCCCTGAGAGCCAGCCCGGTGCTCTTCGTGGTGCTGGGGTGTGGCGGTCCTGCGGGCTGACCTCGGGCCAGCCACCCAGCCACTCTGGGCCCCTGGACGTCCTTTTAGCCCTTTCCCCCCTCTCCCTGCCGAGGCAGGAGGGATTTTCCCCGATATGACTGTGAGAAGCTGGCCAAGCTCCCGGGGAAGCGCCCTGCCGGCAAATTCGGTGAGGGTGGGAGCAGGTCCATCACCAGTCGAGCCTCCGGAGGAGGCCCATACCCTGGCCACCACCCCGATTGGAGCCCTGGATGACCTAGCTAAGCAGTGCCCAGACTCCCGACCCACAGACACGTCGGGGTAGGAAACAGGGCTCCAGCCATTTGTGCGTCCCTAAGGGTGTCAGGTTTGTTCCCTGCACACTGTCACGGTCCCAGTCAAGCAGGTCTGGGTGTGACTCTCCCCACTTGGGAAGCTTTCCTCTGTGCCTGGCCCACCTGTGTTTTCCTTGCTTTTCCCTCCTAAGTGCAGCCCCCTAAGTGTCGACAGCCTGCTCTCTGCAGGGGCAAAGGGTCCTGACTGGCAGCGTGAGCCCATGAATGAGGTGTAAGTGTTTCCACCGTGGCTGATTGCAAGCATGCAGGCTCTTGTGAGATCACCAGGGATTGGATACCATCCGTCTGCCCTCCTGGCTCGGGGGGGGAGGGTCTGCATGCTCTGAGCATGTGCCTTGTAGGAGTGGGACGGCTTCTCCAGGGGCTGGCTTTCAGGCTGAAAGCCAAGGTGTCCGCCAGGGTAGGTGGGGTGACTGACCCAGACAGAGAGAAGGAGCATGAGCGAGATGCACAGTGTGCAGGGGAGAAAGGTCTGGTACTTTCTGGAACCGAGACAAGACCTGGAGCAAGGCTAACCCTGTGTGGAGCCTGCATGGAGGCTGATCGCAGGTGGGCATCAGGACAGCTCACGAGGCCATCTGTCCTAGAGCCCCGCCCCCCCCATAGGTGGCACTTCCCGTTGGTGACTGATAGCTCCATCCCCGGCTGTGTCACGGCACTGAAGGGGCTGGGGAGTTCTGGGCTGGCTTAGGGCCCAGCTTTAAGGAAACTGACGCTTCCTCATTCCCATTTTAATATAAAATAAAACCTGCGGATTAAAATTCTTTTCAGGCCGCTTGATCAAACCTTTCCTCTTTATTTCTTTGTTTATGGCAAGTGTAAATTCACCTAGTTCTTCATTTCGATTGAGAGCATACTGGCTGGAGAATTTCTGTAAAATATACTCAGGCGCTGATTCTGCTTGTGTCTTATGCTTTCACTGTAGCGATTCCAGGTAATAATTGTCTCCCCCCCCCTGGTTTGTGGTGTTTCTAGTCATTGAACAGTTCGATGAAGCACCTGTGCGAGATCCTCACCGCGGACCCCGAGGGCGGGCCTGCCCGCATCCCGTTTGAGACGTTCTCCTACGTCTACCGATACTTGTCCAAGATGGACTCGGACATCCCTGAAGTGGACACGGAATCCTATCTCGCCACTTTAAAGGACACTGTGTAAGTATGAGCCCTCCCTGGAATTCCCGTGCACGGGCCGCTAGAGAAGGTCCTTCCTCTCTCTCCTCTCAGGTACCTTTGCTCCAGGGCATCCGGCCTTTGCCAGGAGGGAGAGCAGCACACATTGCGCTCCAGATGTCCCCAAGATGTCCCCAAGCCGTGCTAAAGAAAGCTGAACCTCAGGAGGCAGCTTTTCTTCCGCGTGATCCAGGGCAGTGCTGGACTGGGAGTCGGGTTCTCTTTATCCCGTCTCTAAGAAAAGTTCATCCAGAATTGATCTTGATTCTTCAGTCCAGTGTGTCCAATGGTTTAAAATCACAGCATGTCGAAGAGTAAGATAGAAGGCGCATCTCAACAGCCCCGCAGGTGGGGGGTGTGATGTCACGCCTTTGCTCCTTGGATGTTTGTGGGGTGACTCCTGTGCCCCCGTCCTGCTCTTCCTGAGAGCGCACAGACAGGGGACTCTCAGACCCCGCCAGCAGGCAGGGTGGAGGGCCCTGAGAACGGGACGGCAGGCGGGGGGGGGGGGGGGGGGGGGCCCTTGGCTGCTCGTCACCGCCAGGCTCGGGTCCCTCCTGCCCTCCCGCACCGTCCGTGCCTGGGGCGCCAGGGCCAGCCCCCGGGACTCCCTGCTGCCGCCTCGGGCGTCTCTCCTGGGCTCCGCCTCGCCCCTTCCAGCCATGTCCTGGCCTCCCTCCTTCAGAATCCCTGCCCTCCCCCCGCCCGTCTCCCCCTCTTCTGTGTGCCGTCCACTGACTTGCCCTCCTCCTCCCAGGGGACACTCTCTTCGTGCCCCGACACACCCAACAGCCACAGTTCTTGGGGACTCAACCCTCCCCTCTCCAATGTCCCTGCGGGCGCTCACCTTCCCCTCCTCTGCAGCCACGCTCACCGGCCCCTTGCCCTGCGGCCCTGCCCCCCATTTCCAGGGCGCCACCCTTCTCTTTGCTGATTCCTCCAGTACCACCCCCAGCTGCCCACCAGTGGTGAGCCGTAGGAGGGGACTGGCGTCACGCCCCCACCAGACCTGCTGCCCTCCTGAGTCTGACCTGGTCCCCAGCCCAGAGGAGCGGTGCCCCCACTGTGACAACGGAGAAGAGCTTAGAGAGGGAAGCAGGTGGTGGGTTCTGGTTGGAAGGACCCTCCTTCCCCCCCCCCCCCCGCGCCCCAAGGCATGAGACTTCTGCAAAGGTCTGGACAAAGAAGGGCCAGGCTGTAGGGCTGCCCCAGATTTGGGAAGCTAACTGGACATGAGGCGTGGCTGCCAGGCTTCCAGGTCTGCCCTGAAGGGTGCTGCTGCCTCCCAGGATGCGACCTGTGGCGGGGAGGCCTTGTGAGCTGGTGGGCCTGCGGGGTGACCCTGGGGGGTGTCCAGTGAGTGCAGCCGGGGCTGGAGTCCCCCCAGGTGGTGCCGGCTGTGGCAGGGTGAGGAGGGCGCTGGCTGGCGGGGGCGCAGCTGGAGCTCCAGGCTTTGAGGAAGGGGGTGAGCATGAGGAGGAGGAGGAGGAGTGACCCTTGGACAGAGGGCACCAGGAAGGGGGGTGCGGACACGGGTGGCCATCGCCCAGTGTGGCCCGCTGCAGAGCTGTCCCTTACATTGTGACCTTGGCAGTGGTGATTTCAGAGGAGTCGTGGGGGCAGGGGAGCCGACACAGTGCAGGCTCCAGCTCCCCCAGACAACCCTGCAGCCTGGGGGGGGGGGCGCGCGGCGGTGGGCCCCTTGAGGGAGGGGCTGAAGGTAAAGGAGAAGCACACTCAGTTGCCGGGTGGTTGGGGGGTCAGGTGTATAACCTGGTGCCTTGTGCATCCCGACATGGACAGCCCCCTCAGAGCTCACAGGAAAAGCCTGAATGCACCTGGGTACCCCAGTAACCCATTTTGGAGCAGGGCACAGAGTTCGTGAGCTGGGCTTGTCTAAATCTTACAACTTCTGCTCATCCATTGAGAGCAAATCCATCCCAGCAGCAAGCGCCCGGAAGGCACACAGGACGGGGGCAGCGGAGTTTAGTGGGTGAGTGCTGTGGCCGGCTGGCCTGGGTCAGAGCACTCCTCTCCCCACCCGCTCCCCACCCATCTTTGTAGAGGGGCTGACTCGGCCTCTCTCTGCAGTGGGAGGGACTTCTGCCTATTCAGTAATCAATTCACTCAGTCATGCATTCATGCATTCATTGCTCATTTCCAAGAGTGTTTCAGACCCATCCACGCGTCCCTAGTGGAAGGTGCTGGACACTCAGGTACTGATGAGCCGAGGGCATGCATGCAGGGTGACAGGCTGGGCTGGGCAGGCCAACCAGGGGCCCTGGCCGACAGGATGCCCTGGGGGCCTACCCGGAGGTGGCTTTGCAAGGACCAAGCCTGGGAGGCTTGGGAAGCCCCTGGAAGGTTGAAGTGGCCCCTTCCTCTTTCCAGAAGGATCTGGCATGGTGCGTTCATGGCGAGATTTGTTCTGTAGCCATTAGCTGGTACCCGGGGTGAAGAATCAGTTCACAAGGGAAGTCCAAAGAAGATCCCACTTGGTGTTTCTCTTCCATCACTTGGTTAGTGGCTCTTCCTTAACTGGGGAGATACACTGCAGCTGAGCCTCCATTTGCTGTTAGCACAGCTAAGGCAGCAAGCCCACTTTCTCTGGCAGCCTGACGAGAGCTGTCGGGGCCACCGCGGCAGGAAATCGTCACGCCCAGGAGAGCAAGGGGTCAGGGTGACAGGCACCGTCCTCCAGCATTCTGTTCTTCACCTCTAAGCAGCCACAGCGAGAAGCTTGGACACCTGTGATTCCCCTGGGGCTGTGAGAGATGGTTGCTGTTTATGGTAAAATGTGGTTTAGGACCGCTAACTGATGTTTCCCTTTACCTTGAAAATACGAGCCCTCGAGATGGTTCTCCTTTCCCCCACCGACATAGAGAATGAATATTGTTCAGCATTTTTACATCCACGGATGTTGGCAGCAGAAATGTGCTAATGCTCACCATCTCTTAAGAAATAGAAGTATCTATAGATAAAAGAAGAAAAATCGAGGGACATGCAGTTGGCAATGCCAAAGTTTCATAGACTCAAGACCTTTGAGTTTCACTGGACCAACTTTTCCAATAGAAGGATACTTTTATTTCAGTAGTGACTAAAATTGGAGTGGCCAATAAAGAAGAACGTATAGTACTGATTTTTTCATGTAGAAATCAATGCCCATTTTTGTACAAGAAAATATAACGCTTTAGTTTTAGAGGTAAGAATTACTGATTAGAGATCGGAAATCATCTATTTTTCTACGTAAAACCTTTAAATTAGATGGCATTTCATAAGAATTGTGTTGTGTGCTGTGAGAAATGACTAATAAGTGCCTTTATCTGTTTTCCAATCTAGAGAATCTAGAAAGAATGGCATGATAGGACTTTCAGATTTCTTCGTTCTGACGAGGAAAGTTTAGAAAACCTCGAGAAGAAAACTCAGAAGACAGAGGCCATTATTACAGAGAAGAACACTTTTTAATATCAAATAGTGCTTTTTAAAACCTTGGCACCAAATACAGTTTGTCTTTAACCATATAGGTGTGTTATGTGAGTTTTTCTCATAGTGGAAGCCCAGTGTGGTCGGTGTGTCCTGGGATCTACTTAATAATTGCTCTTCACCCTGTTTCCTGGCAGACCCTTACATGGAGAAGATTCGTAGCAAGAAAATCTTTTTGAGTAAAACAATCTATTTGGATGCTACGGGGGGCGGGGGGAATGGGCAGTGTAAAACTGGCTGTTCTTTCTCCTCCTTGGAAACTCCTGACCAGCAGGAATGCTGATGTTTGCTCCCCGGACAACCACACCTAAGACCCCCTAGGAAGAGTGTCTTCTGCTGAAGCTGGATCTGTTCTGGGAACGGTGGGCCTGGGAGCACCGGCTAGCTGGTGGAGCATCATGGCCCCAGGAAACAAAGTAGACTATTTAAGATTTTATTTATTTATTTGAGAGAGAGAGAGCAGGGGGAAGAGCGTAGGCAGAGGGAGAGAGAGTCTCAAGCAGGCTTCGTGCTCAGCACGGAGCCTGATGTGGGGCTTGACCCCACAACCTTGAGATCATGAGATCTGCCGAAGTCAAGGGTCGGACGCTGAACCGACTCAGCCACTCAGGCGCCCCCAAAGTAGACAATTTAGACCAGCACTTGGTCCACAGAACAGAAACGAGCATCCCCGATCCTTTATTTGCTTTCTTTATATAAAGTCTTCAAAATGAAGTGGCAATTAATACACCTTAGATCATTTTTCGGAGAACTTAAAAATGGTTTGGCTTGTTGGTTCTCTATAGATTGGTCGCCATGCTAATTAAAGTTATCCGTGTTCAAAGACTTGTGAAAACCCAAAGTTTGGAGGAAGAATTTGCTTCAGGGAGGAGAGAGCCCCCTCCTGTGTAATCACTACCTGAGAGCCAGGGACACTGCCTCGCCTGGTTCTTTCCCAGGGGACCCTCTGCCTGGCCCAGCTGGAAGGCCAGCCATAAGATGTCACTGAGTCAGCCCTGGAGAGAGCTTATGATGCAGCGTGTCCATCCAGGGGACCAAGGACCTGATGACTTTGGGGCCTGCTTGCTAACAAGTGTCTGTGCATTTGGTAGAATTTGGGGTGAGCCATGCTTTACATTTTAGTGATCTTGTTGGGAGGTTATAGCGGAGGGACATAGAGCCCCTGCGTCCTGTCATCACTGGAGGCCACTGACATTTACCAGAAGAACTTCATCTAGTTGCTAACCGGTCACACTGGCTTAGGTCAAGGAGGTAAACGTGGACGGAGTTTTATGAGATTGAGAATAGGTGAATATGATTATAAATAAATTTGCTAACGTGAACATCTGAACTAAAAAATGTAAATCGGGATACTTTTTCACTCTATCAAAAACTCAGAGGGGCGGAGCAAGTTGGAGGAGGAGTAGGAGACCTGGATTTCGTCTGGTCTCAGGAATTCAGCTGAATAGGGATCAAACCATTCTGAACACCTACGAACTCAACAGGAGACCAAGAAGAGAGTAGCGACAACTCTCTGAACAGAGAAGCGACCACTTACTGGAAGGTAGGACGTGCGGAGAAGTGAATCCGAGGCGATATTCGGGAGGAGAGACGGCGGGGGAGGGGGCCTCCGTCGGCCGCTTCTGGCAAGTGCTAGAGCCCCGGAGCACAAAATCGGACCTTTTAGAAGTCAGCTCCGCGGAGGGACGTCGCTGCAGTGGCTAAGCGGGGGGTGGAACCCTCGCGGGACAGTGTGGTCTCAGGACCCTCGGGGTCACAGAAAGACCGGGGGTGCCTGAGTGCGGCAGAGCTCCCAGGGATCGGAGCGGGGAAGCCGGCTGCAGAGACGGAGCCGAGGCGCGGGCTCTCAGCTCGGGGTTGCCATAAACTGTGATCTGCGGCCCAGTCGGGCCACTGCTCCTCCAGCAGGGACCCAACAAGCAGCAGAGCCGGGGAGACTCCCCTTCCTCCCCCGGGAGGAGCGGCGCGGGAGCGCACCGCAGGGATCTGCTGGGTTTGGAGACTCCACACGGGGTCGAGTGCCAGAGACAGAAACGCTCCATCACAGGCCGGGTGAGCACGGGGTGCGGCCGGAGACCGGGGACACGGGAGTGACTGCTTTTCTCTGGGGGCGCACTGAAGAGCGGGGCGCCGAGTTCTCAGCTCCTCTGGGCGGAGATTGGGAGGCCACCATTTTCACCCTGGTCCTCCAAAGCTGCACCAGAGCTTGCAGGGAACAAAAGCTCCTGAGAGCAAACCCGAGCAGCTTGCTTAGCCCGACGACAAGGGCGGGGCAATTCCGCCTCCGGCAAAGACATTTGGGAACCACGGCAACAGTCCCCTCCCCCAGGAGATCAGCAGGAACAGCCAGCAAGCCAAGACCAAGTTTACCGATCAAGGAGAACGGGAGAACTCCAGCGCTAGGGGAATACTGCACATAGAATTCATGGCTTTTTTTTTTTTTTTTTTTACCATGATTCATTAGTTTTTCAAAGTTAATTTTTTAACTTTTTAAAAATATTTTTCTTTTCCCCTTTTTCAACCAACATCTTATCAATCCCTTTTTTAAAAAAACATTTTTTATTTTTCATTTTTAGAGTCATATTTTATCCCTTCATAGTAGTTATCTTATTTTGGGCATATATATATAAGTTGTTCTCTCTTTAAAATTTTGAGATGCAGTTTCTTCTAACAGATCAAAATATACCCTAAATCACTAGTGTATGGTTTTGTTCTAGTCTCCTGCTGATCACATTCTCTTCCCCTTTTTTTTCTTTTTTTTTCAATCTTCTTCTTTCTTTTTTCAAACAACTTCTTATCTTATCAATTCCTTTTATAAAATCTTTTATAATTTTCATCTTTACAGTCATCTTCCATCCCTTCATTGTATCAACCCTTATTTTGTACATATATAAGTCTTTTTTCCTTTAAAACTTTAGGAGGCACATTTTTCTAACAGACCAAAATACGCCCAAAATCTAGTGTGTGGCACTGATCTGTGCACTAGCCTGATCATATTTGATCATATTCTGTTTTTTTGTATTGTTGTTTTTGTTTTTATCTTTTTCTTTTTGTTTTTTTTTTCTTTCTTTTCTCTTTCTTTTTTCTCTCTTTCCCTTTCTTTTCCCCTGGTTTCAGGTCTTTTCTGATTTGTATAGAGTATATTTGCTGGGGACGTTGTTAACCTGTTAGCATTTTGTTCTCTCATTCATCTGTTCTCCTCTGGACAAAATGCCAAGATGGAAAAAATCACCTCAGCAAAAAGAACAAGAGGTAGTACCGTCAGCCAGGGACCTACTCAATACGGATATTAGTACGATGTTGGACCTAGAGTTCAGAAGCATGACTTTAAAGATACTAGCTGGGCTTGAAAAAAGTGTGGAAGTTATTAGAGAAACCCTTTCTGGAGAAATAAAAGAACGAAAATCTAACCAAGTCGAAATCAAAAAGGCTATTAATGAGGGGCAATCAAAAATGGGGGCACTAACTGCTAGGATAAATGAGGCAGAAGAGAGAATCAGCGATATAGAAGACCAAATGATGGAAAATAAAGAGGCTGAGAAAAAGAGAGAGAAACAACTACTGGATCACGAGGGCAGAATTCGAGAGATAAGTGATACGATAAGATGAAACAACATTAGAATAATTGGGATCCCAGAAGAAGAAGAAAGAGAGAGAGGGGCAGAAGGTATATTGGAGCAAATTATAACAGAGAACTTCCCTAATGTGGGGAAGGAAACAGGCATCAAAATCCAGGAGGCACAGAGAACCCCTCTCAAAATCAATAAAAATAGGTCAACACCCCGACATCTAATAGTAAAACTTACGAGTCTCAGAGACAAAGAGAAAATCCTGAAAGCAGCTCGGGAGAAGAGATATGTAACCTACAATGGTAGAAATATTAGATCGGCAACAGACCTATCCACAGAGACCTGGCAGGCCAGAAAGGACTGGCATGATATCTTCAGAGCACTAAACAAGAAAAATATGCAGCCGAGAATACTACATCCAGCTAGGCTCTCATTGAAAATTGAAGGAGAGATAAAAAGCTTGCAGGACAAACAAAAACTAAAGGAATTTGCAAACACGAAACCAGCCCTACAAGAAATATTGAAAGGGGTCCTCTAAGCAAAGAGAGACCCTAAAAGCAGCATAGATCAGAAAGGAACACAGACAATATGCAGTAACAGTCACCTTACAGGCAATACAATGGCACTAAATTCATACCTTTCAATAGTTACCCTGAATGTAAATGGGCTAAATGCCCCAATCAAAAGACACAGGCTATCAGATTGGATTAAAAAACAAGACCCATCCATATGCTGTCTGCAAGAGACTCATTTTAGACCCAAAGACACCCCCAGATTGAAAGTGAGGAGGTGGACAACCATTTACCATGCTAATGGACACCAAAAGAAAGCTGGGGTGGCAATCCTTATATCAGACAAATTAGATTTTAAAACAAAGACTGTAATAAGAGATGAAGAAGGACACTATATCCTACTTAAAGGGTCTATCCAACAAGAAGATCTATCAATTGTAAATATCTATGCCCCCAGCATGGGAGCAGCCAATTATATAAGGCAATTAATAACAAAAGCAAAGAAACACATTGACAAAAATACAATAATAGTGGGGGACTTTAACACCCCCCTCACTGAAATGGACAGATCCTCTAAGCAAAAGATCAACAAGGAAATAAAGACTTTAAATGACACACTGGACCAAATGGACTTCACAGACATATTCAGAACATTCCATCCCAAAGCAACGGAATACACATTCTTCTCTAGTGCCCATGGAACATTCTCCAGAATAGATCACATCCTAGGTCACAAATCAGGTCTCAACTGGTACCAAAAGATTGGGATCATTCCCTGCATATTTTCAGACCACAGTGCTTTGAAACTAGAACTCAATCACAAGAGGAAAGTGGGAAAGAACTCAAATACATGGAGGCTAAAGAGCATCCTACTAAAG